CGACAAAGTGGCACTGCCTCTCTCTCTGCTGCTAAAGCTACGGATAGCAAATGCTACGGGCGATGCCTGAGCGTGAACGCGCATGAAGCAGCCTGCTCGACCCGAGCATCTCTCTTTTTCTGTGATTTTACAGAAAAACAGGCAATCACAGTAAAAATGCCAGGGCTCATTCTACAGGACCAGGGCATTGCAGGAGAATGTATGAAGAAGACATTTATTATTTCTATACATGTTTTGGCTGTCACACTTCCATAATGTCCCTAGTCTCTCAGGGACCATTGTGAAACTATTCTATTGAGGTGAAGCTCTTGACTGATCGGTCAGAGCAGCCCAAACCCCTTCAAATATTGTTGTTTTTCACTTTTATTTCACAAGATCTAACATTTAATTATTTAATACCAACATTGGACTTTCTCCAGACAGAAACTCTACCACAGTGACTCTCCGAGACATGCTAATGGCTAGCCTCTCTGATGCTAACGCCAGCCTATCCATGCTTAAGGTCCGTCGAGGTGGTAGGAAATTCAGCTAGTTGCCAGCCTAGGCGGTAATGGCTAGCCTCTCCAATGCTAACACCAGCCCGTCCAGACTATAATGCTAGCCTATCCATGCTAATAGACAGCAGAGGGAGTGTGTGAACCAGTCAATGACCAGCCGAGGGCTGCTAGTCCCTAGCGTATCTAGTAATAACACCGGTAAAGGTGCTATTCCTCAGTAAGCAGCACCAGCATCTCAGTTACCAGCGCCAGCTTGTCATTAATCAGGTCGGTAGTTTGCTCCGGAATTTATATAGCCTCCTGCTGCTGGGCAGTAATCTTAATTTTGGCACCATATATGGGGAATTCATATTCTTATGTCTAGAAATTACTTTCTGCACATAAAAAAAATTATACAGCATTCATATCTTACTGTTGTAGGATTTATGTTTTCCCCTCAGATCTCATCAGAGCCATTTCTATTTCGCTCTGTTCAATAAAAAAATTTACATTTTAAACTATTATTTTATGAATCTGGCTTCAAAGGGTCAGAACAAACAAAATGGCCAAACTGCTCATGTGTGCCACGGCAAACAAATATGGAACGGATCGATGGGGAGATGAAAACAGTGATTTCTGGGAAAATCTCAGCTCCACGGCAGTCTCCTTGCAGAGAAGTGATGAAGTGAAGCGGCTCAACCACATGAAAGTAAAAGCGACGGTCAGGTTCAGTGATTCCATGCGGGCGAGACGCCTCTTTCCCTTCATCTAACCTGACACCGTTGTTACAACCCCCTAAAGGCGGGACAGGCAGCAGAGGGGGTGATTTGTCACAATTGGGAACGTGTACACTCCCTCTAAAAGTGTGTGTGTGTGTGTGTGTGTGTGTGTGTGTGTGTGTGTGTGTGTGTGTGTGTGTGTGTGTGTGTGTGTGTGTGTGTGTGTGTGGACTTCGCTCCAGGATGGAGAAAGAAAGGAATGTTTTTAAACTTATGTGCTCGTGTGGTAGTTTTAAAACGACATAACGTTGATGTCAGCAGTTTTTGACTTATGTTAAAGTCCCCGATAAGACAGTCGTTACTGTGACCATAAAGCAGGCCAGATGGTTATTGTTCCCAGTGATTATCTCCCATCAAAACCTCAGCCATCACATCCCTGACAGTCTCCACGGACCTCTCAGTGCTTCGGTTTATTGTCTTTAATGTCCCAGAGCTCACGGAAGAAAAATAACTCCTGTCCAGGCTTAAGTAAATTGGAGGTGAACGGAGGAAGAAAGATGCTGACTTGTATCTGTGAGCTCCTGGGTTACGATCGTTTCTCCCCCATACTTTTAAGAGTTCTCGCTGGTTGATTACCTTTAAAAAAACTCTTTTGTCTACACCGTTTCTGCAGAGGGAATATGATCTATGCTTCCCTATATTCACTCACTCACCCAACAGCACACTCCGAGCACCCTGAGTCGAGTCTAAATAACAGCAGCTATTAATCTCATGGACAATTGAGGCCGGATTGGATTTTCTGTGAAGCTAATCCTGACACTGCATGGGATTTCTCATCTATTCAGGCTTCATTTTGTCAGATACTTATTATTTATTTCTCCGCAGCATACCTGCATTCAAGCTATTGGAGTTTGTGTGATGGATGGCACAAACTGGAGAAAGGCCCACACTTATCAGTGAGGGATGGCGCGGAAAGAGAGACCGACAAGGGAAATGAGATGATTACAGGGGGTCACGCAGAGTGAGGCCAAAAAACGTCAGGCTGAGAACGGATGGATGGTTGTGCGGAAAATAGATTTAAAAGAGGTCGGAGACGATTTATAGCTAAGTGTCCTGGGCCTGAAAACAGAGAGTCAGAAATGAAATGAGGAAAGCAGTCCGTAAACCTGTAAAGTTAGCGAAACAGTGCTCGCTAGGCTAAATGTAGCTATAGCGCCTAGCTTGTTTAATCAATCACAAAAAGTATCTTAGAAAAGATCTTAAGCCTTTGTGGCTTTTCCAAGTTAAAACAAGTTTAAAGATCAACTAAACATCAAAAAACACATTTTAATCATCTTTTTATTTTAATATGCTGTGTGGTGGAGTTGCTAACGCTAATGGTTAGCTTCTACTACATGAGAGGTTCTCTTCTGTTTCCTGGACGCTAAACCAACAACCTTGCCCGTCGTGAGTCAAGATGAGTTCATTTATGTTAAGTGACGTAGGTCTGTCAGGCTTTCCAATCCTAGAGTTTCATCTTCTATTTTCTATCAGAAGCAGGAGATAGGTGTCGTGGGTGGTTCTGTAGGTTGAATGCTTTGCAGTCATGTTTCTGGTTTTATTGTATTTCTAGTAGTTCCTGTTTGATTTTGTGTATTCACTTCCTGTCTCATTACAGGCAGCTTCACAACCTGAGGCTCCTCACTAATCAGCCTTATGTCATGCACCTGTGTCCTGGCTTCTCCATTTATGCTTCTTTGCAAACAGATTCCTTTGCCAGTTACTCTTCTTCAGTTGAGTAAAGTGAACCTGCTCTCAGTAACACTTTGTGTGAGTGTATTCAGTTAATTTTGGACTTGTTCAGTTGTGCTGTACTGCCAGGATTCCCTTCAACTTATTAAACTGTGTCAGCTCTGCATTTGAGTCCTCTTTTGTGCTTTGATAATAGGTGTAGGAGACTATTTTATTGTGTTTTATTGTTGTTTTAATGTATTTTATTGAATGTATTTTTCCTGTCAAGTGGCCTTGGGTGTCCTGAAAGGCGCTTTTAAATAAAATGTTTTATTATTATTATTATTATAATTATTTTCTATCAGAAGCTAATGCAGGAGATAGATGTAGGAGACTGTTTTCATGTTCAGCCTGCGTGAAAACCCTAGTGTCTGATTCTAATCAGACATAATCATTGAAAATGTTTTTTCTGTGAAGTTGGCCTTTAAGGTAAATTTAATCAATTTCCCTCTGGGGTTAATAAAGCATTTTTGAATTGAATTGAAATATCTGGAGAACATTATCACCATACAATTACACAAAACTACTTTCTCCTCTTCAAATCAACAGGCGAACAAAATGAAGCATGCTAACACACGGGCTAATTTAGCTGCATGATAGGAATCAGAAAAGCCTGTTTAGGAAGTAAATTTGAATTTAACTTTAATAAAATCGCATTTCTCACTACTTTAAATTAGAAAGAAATCTAGAAGAGGTTTCTTTGTGTCTCCATGAAGACTACAGAAACAAGGAGGTTGGAGAATACCAAATATTAATTTAAAAAAAAAGAGGAAAAAGTCACAAAACGATACTTAACGTGCCACACCTTCTGCAACACCATTTAGCATATGTTTGCACCATTAAGAAGATTCAGTCAAGTGAAAACCGAAATTGTGACAGAAAAAACTGTCACAATTATGCTAATAACCATCTTATCCCTTTAGCGTCACATGGGTATTCACTAAAATTCCACTTATTACAACGCTCAAGTAGCTACAGCAGCCACTAGCTGTGTCTCTTCTGGCTTGAAATGAAAAATTCTTTCAGAATGACTGCAATTCAGAATCTACAATGTTGTTGTTGGTTGTTAAATAGACCTCACATGAAACGCTTTGTGCTTTTTCAGACTGGAGTTGTTTTAAATGAGCTGTAATCCAATATAACCTTGGCCCTACTTGGATTAGCCGTAGCCTGTCATAACAGCCAGAACTAATCTCTTTCTCTTCTAAATAACATTTTTCAAAGAAATAACTTTTTTATACTTCCATGATTTTTCAGTGGGAACTTGTGATTTACACAGATGGCCTCCACCAAATGTTACATTTTCTAAAATAGCCCCATTAAAATGTATGCCTTTGCATCCGTGTTTGCTATAGAAACATATATATTCATATGTTTATTTGCATTGTTTTCAAACATAAACAGGACTAAGACATAAATGAATATGGCCAATATGACTTTGAGCTACAATGGCAAACATCCAAAACAAGCTATAGCTTAAAACATTTTTTTCATTCCTCCTTAATGATAAATAGATAATGAATAACCCGCTCTAGTCAGAGGACTCCAAAGCGCTTTACACTACAGTGTGTCATTCATTCAATCACACACACATTCACACCCTGGTGGTGATGAGCTACAATGTAGCCACAGCTGCCCTGGGGCGCGATCCAAGCACGGGCACCAGCGGTTCCTCCTCCGACGACCACCAGGAAAGGAGCGTTAACTGTTTCGCCCAAGGACACAACAGCAGCATTCTCTGCCGAGAGCCAGGAAATAGCCGTCTGCTTCCACTTCAACTTCCAGACAACAAAAGACGCTTGGAAGTCGAAAACAGCGGCTGGTGTTTAACACTATCTAGTGTAGCGGAGGCAAACTGATGATTTTATCTGTTATGACCATGAAGATGTAATATTCTATATAAATATTAAATATTAACCTGCGAAGTCTTTATTGTAATTAATCAGAAGATTCTAGGATTTAATTCAGAAGATCTAGGTTCTTTGCTTTTTTCAGTGATCAACCACACTTAGTGTTACTTCAAGAAAGAGTCAAGTTTATAAAAGTAAGAATTTATTTTACAAACAATTTTAAACATGACAAATTGGTTAACTCAGAAGACATGTGGAATGTGTAGTCGCTATGGCAACTCAACTCTGTCTCCTTTCCCAGCCTGGGCGGGACTGCGGGAAGGCCGCTGAATCGTTCCAGGGTCACTCCAACCCTCAATGCACCCCCCCCCCCACCCCCACCCCCTCCACACTGAGGTGACATGCGCTGCTTATCGTGGCTGCAGGAACTGAAGTGGGGATAGTCCCAAACCCACCACCCCACCTAGTGGACACTTACGTTGTGTGTTGTCTGGAGTCTGTTGCATATCTGTCTGAGGTGGGTTTTTTTTTGCAGAGCAAAGCTGCCCTCCCTATGGAGGGTAACTCTGGTGCCTTTTTTTCCCTCCACCTGAACCAATCCTCATGTAACCCTCTGATGTCTATTAAGGTAGCGCGACTCAGGGTTGCGAATGACCACAGTCACCAATTCTTGTCATGTGTCTTGCCCATGTATGTCTGACATGGACAAAAATCATAAATCACTCTTGGTTCTGGGTTTCATTTGCTGCTAAATGCAGCAGCACTTTGTTTCTAATCAGTTTCAGTTGCACTTTCTGCTTGTTTGAGCAGAAAGAAAACGCCTTTCTGCGTGGAGTTGCGTGTTTTCCCCATGCATGCGTGGGTTTTCTCCGGGTACTCCAGTTTCCCCCACAGATCACAACATGCCCTATAGGTAAAAAAAAAAAAGTAAGTCGCTTTGGGTAAAAGCGTCTGCTAAGAACATAAACAACATAAACAACATAAACATAAACAACATAAATGAATCTTTATTTCTGGAATTTATTTATTATCATCGTCATTTAATTGAAGTTGGACAGATGACTCGATTATGACTTGAAAATTCAAAGTTAAGGACCTGGACTTGACTTGGACTTACACATCTTTGACTTTGGACACAACTTGGTTGTCTTTGACTTGGACTTGACTCGAGACTTGACTGGAAAGACTTGCTTGTGACTTGCAAAGCAGTGACTTGGTCACACCTCTGCAAGCTGGAATATCCTGATTTTACCACATTTATTATTCCGAGTCTTCTGACGTGAATCCATGTTTAAAGTCAGGATAAGAGCCGTCGGTGTGGCAGGTACAAAACGTTTACATCTTCCACCACGCTGCTCATGGAACATTCTGTGTTGACAAGTTTGCAGTAAACGTGTTAAGCAAGTGCAAAGACGCAGTCAGTGTCTGTAAATCCTCACATTTCATGTCCGTGAAGCCTGCCGGAGACAGCCTTGTTTTCACGTTCGGTGCTGTGTTTTCTGTCAGCGGCGCCGAGGCAGCCAAACAGGCTCTCGCATGTCTGCCGAGGATTTCCTAAGGCTCGCAGTAAGAACCGAGTCAGACAGGAGGAAACTGCCACAGAGGGAGGCAGACGGAGTAGACTGAGGCTTAAGCTAGACTCCGATTTTCAGGACAGGAAAGAGGCTTTAGGGGGACGGGTTTGAAACCAGAAAACAAAAATAAAAATTGGAGAGGAGATGAATAGCTGACAATAGGCATCAAACGTGTGTTGGTTTTATTATAGTTCATTTATATGCATGCTTTTATTCTACAGTTATTTCTAGGTGGTTGGTAGTTAGAAACCTTCCTAAATGAGGCTGCGATCTCCTGAAGGCTCCAAAAAGATCCCCATTTATTTTAAGATGTCACGCTGTTCTTCGTTGTAGATCATGTGACACCCGGGCGCGCAGATAGGGTGGGGGATGGGGGGGGATCTGTCCCCCCCAGATTCAGACCGACCCCGATCCGTCCCCCGCACTAAGGCCAGAAAGAAAACAAAATCGGAGGTTTAGCGCTTGAAGCTCCTTTTTCCGATTACACTGAATGCAGCATGACGTAAACAAACACCGACTCCAGAGGCGCCAAAGTGGTTGCTGCTAGGATGCAGGATGAAGCGATAAAGACAAGCAACGATTACTGCGTGTTTAAAAAAGACCAACAGTGTAAGTAGGCGGGACCGATCTGTCTGTTTATGCATGCTGGTTCTAGATTCAGTACGTTGTTGTCAGTGTTGGGACTTACTCGTTAAAAGCGCCTCATTGCTGACTTTAACAAGTCTCATCTACAGATATGATCCCTCATGAAGTTACTACTTTACACCAGAAGATAGTGGAGATGTGGAACCTTCAGGCTGAGCAAAGTTTGGGAGTTTTTAGAGTTTGAAAATCGCCTCCCGCCGCCGAGAGGCTCCCAGTCGGGGAGAGGAGGAGATGCGTGCAGCATGAAGAGCACAAATATTAGATAAAACGTATAATTGCCGGCAGGTCTGATCTTTGTTGACTGATCACTTTGTATGGTCATGACTGACTCTGATTATGAAGCAGAATATTGACTCTGATGAAGAAATTCACTCATCCAGCCGGGAAGATGGACGCTGCTGCAGCATCAGACAGCTGGTGCTGCACGAGAGGTGTGAGGAGTTTACAAGCTCCAAACGTTGGGTTTGATGTTGGTTTAACCTTCTCTGGGACGTGATGGATGTAGAAACGATGGTAAAACACCGCTAACGTGACAGACGTAGCGACAATGTAAAAACAAAAAAGCTGTAAAAAAGAGGCAGATGCCGATGCGCTATATATGGAAGTCAAGTGTGCCACATAATCATCAAAAAAGTAAAATATAAAATTTAAAAAGAGATTTATAAATTTATGTATAAAGTAAAACTTTCCAAATATAATGAAAATTTCTAAATAACGTAAAAATACGAAGGAACATCTGTTGGTCAGGCTGAAAAGTTTGGGAACTACTGCTCTAAGTGATAAGTGAATTTTGTTTTTTTAAACATGTTTTATGTGCAGTTTTTTAGGGCTTTGGGTGAAGATGAAACCAGCGACAACGATCTAAGTGTGAGGCATCATCGTTTTAATCTGCTCCAGCAGCTAAATAAACTGTTTAAGATAATGTTAGCTTGATATGTTAGCTTCCATTGCCACCATTGTTATCAGCTAATGGTGCGTTCGCTTTCTCCTCGGAAATTCTAACTTCCCAGTAGGAAAAATCTATTGAAAAAGGACGGCAAAAGGAATGAAGATACACAGTAAATTTAGTTCACAGTAAAGATGTTTGCTTCAGTTTAATTATCAGCTTATAAAACTACAAGGACCATGTTAAAATACAAACAGTTGCATGTTATTTATCATGATATTTATCAAATATGGTTATATATTGAGAAAAATATATATTTAATTATAAAAGTGAATTAAAATATTAAACACTCAAAAGTATCGAAAATTGGTACCGTTAAGTACCGGTATCGATTCCTAGGTACCGGGAATTAGTACAGAATTGATTCAAATGTCAAAGGTACTCATCCCTAAAACCACTCTCCAAACGTACCACTGATCCTCCTGTTGCCAGCATTGTTTTTTCAGATCAAGTCATTTTCATTTCTTCCTCTGTCGCTAACCTTGGAGTCATATCTGACCCCTACATAATATTTCAACAACTCTGTAAGACTTTCATCTCAGAAATACGGCCAAACTCCACCCCTCCCTGTCCCTGGCAGATGCCGAGAAGCAGGTCTATGCCTTCGTCCCCCCCAGGCGGGACTACTGCACTCTCCTTGTTGGGATTCCTGGCAGGAATGTTCAGACACCAGCTCATTTACATCAGTGCTGCTAGGATCCTGGCTAGCGGATGCAAATGTGTCAGGGAGACCATGAAAGTACCACGAAGCCACTCTGGAAGCTTTAGGCATGCTCAAAACAATCATGGACTCTTTTGTCCCACGTAACAGGAATCCTTCTGCGTTTTTATTCACCCCATGACTGTTCCAAGACCGTCCATATCCTGACTGATTTCCTGTCGCCTTTTCGTCGTTAAGGAAGCAAGGAGCATATAAAATAATTGTGGGTTTGCTTTAGTGCATCATTTTGAGGCCTCAAACTGCCAAACCGGGTTTGTCTGAATGTGAGACAAAGAGAATATAGCACAGGATGACCTTTCAAACAGACCATACACGCCTCAGCCTTCAGGACGTTAAAACCAGAAGTTCTGACATCAAAGACAGGAAGCCAGTCACGGGTACTTCTCTCCTTTACTCCATTTTCACATCCACACTCCATACGCTATTTATGGGGTTCAGCTTCCATGCAAAAATGCAAATCTTCCTCCTCGGCTTGCAGCTGTTCATAAATATGAGTCCTGCTTTAAGGCGAAGGTGAGCTCTGAGCCTCTTTGGGTTGGAGGGTAGCAGCTCTCATCCCAGGACATTAGGAGTTAATTTACAGCTGACCTAATGCATATTCAGTCAGGCTGTCACACTCGTCTCCGTCAGGCTCTCGCAGCGCCCTGATGTATGCTTCCAATTTAAATCCCATCCATCTGTTGGAGATGACAGGAAATAATTCATGCTGCTGAAACGCTCTCCGACGGGGACGGTCTCTGCTGGCAGATATTTAAAAGTCAGATCGCAATTTTTAGGGCTGTTTTACACATCTGAGTCGCTGTGCAGCAGGGGTCGACGTTCTACTCCTGGACACGGCTGAGAAGACTTCCGCTCGATTCAAAATGTGACCGCATGCATCGATTTAGACGGCTTTCACGCACAGATGTACAAGCACGCTCAACGGGGGGGGTCTGGGGCTTCCTCTGCCTCGCTGCCATCGATTTTCTTTGCAGAGATTTTCTAACAAATTTTAATGTTCCACCAAATCGACTTTTGTTTGATGTGCATTCATCAGAAGAATAAAAGCTAGCAGCTGAGATGAAGACTAATAGTTTTTCTGCTTTTGATCACCGAACTGCATCGAGTTATGACCTTTGAGTCGTGCAGATGCTCTTCGCTTACGGCGCCTGAAGGCGGGCCGTGTTGAATGGCTGATCAGAGGACAGATTAGTCCCTGTGAAGATGGTCACTGATCGCTAAGATGTTTGCCACTGACCAACCAAATTCAGCCTGTCTACAGTAAATTCTGTTTCTACCGTCCAAGTTCTTAAAGGGACGTTATGGAAGTCTGACAGCCAAAACATGTATAGAAATAATAAATGTCTTCTTCATACATTCTCCTGCAATGCCCTGGTCCTGTAGAATGAGCCCTGGCGTTTTTACTGTGATTGCCTGTTTTTCTGTAAAATCACAGAAAAAGAGAGATGCTCGGGTCGAGCAGGCTGCTTCATGCGCGTTCACGCTCAGGCATAGCCCGTAGCATTTGCTATCCGTAGCTTTAGCAGCAGAGAGAGAGGCAGTGCCACTTTGTCGCTGTTCCTAACGCCTAGTGACAAAGCTAGCTACATTTCTGAGGACCCTTAGCTACTTTCTGTAGAACTTTCTTCTAGATATTTCCTGCAAATTAGCAACAAAATAGCCATTTTCGCTTCGAACCGTTCTTTGATTTGGCGTTGTTTCAGCTGTCATCAAGGATATAAAAGTTACAGATACTGTTAATGTTACTAGAGTGTAGCTCATCTTGTAAGATGTCTGACTCTCATGCTGAAGACCTGGGTTTGATTCTGGGTGTGAACATTTTAGAGTTTCTTTTTTTACATTAATGGTACATTTTTTTTACAGTAAGACGCCCAAATTTTTATTTGAGACTCGCCGAACGGCATTGAATTCACAGATAAAAAAGATGTGGGTTCAAATTTCATTTTGGAACAATTTTTCAAGCAAGGGAAGGGAATGATCTGAGCATGCAGGAGGACTGACCCATCTTAAACCTTTGTCGG